CTGTACTTTGTAAACGTTCATGTGGCTGCTTAATTCGAATTCAGCCCGAAAAACTGGCCTAGAAACATGTCAAACTCGAAAAAGTGAACCGAGGTCACCAAAGGTCAATGACCTGACCTGACCTTCAGGTGACCTTGACACCCACCCTAATGCATGGGGGCAACATCATATCACATGTTTGAACGCTTGAAACCACGAAAAGACTGCAAACGCGCTGCTAATGCGAGCCGACATACGCTGAATCGCGGTTCCGGCCAAACATGGTCTCGAAAAGTAGGTCACAGGTCAAAGGTTATTTGCGTCAGGGTCATGAAATTTTCAGGGTAGGTGTAAAATTGATCAACACGAGGGTACTAAAAGTTACGTCGTGATCGGCCGCTTTTTACGCGAGTTATTTGCGAAAAACCGAGGGGAGTCCGTTCGACCCCCCCCCCCTAAAGGGCGAGGGCTAACTCACAGTCCGAACTCCGAACAAGTTCGGTCTTGTTTGTGAATTTGTCGGAGCATCACCTAAATCTAGTAGAGATGATGGAGGGAAACTAGGCTTTTAAGGAGGGAAGGGAGTCGGTGACGGTCAGGGGCACTACAGGCTGGTGAGAGGGCTGACATACCATGTTTTGATAGCATGACTGAAACAGACTTTTTGGGTAGCCAGGAAATCGCATGCGAGAGCCTATTGAAATTCTTACATCGGCCTTTATATGCACCAGTCGTATACAGGTGCGGGATTTGGCATACGATTTCCAGACAATCGAAGTACTGTTTGGAGCCAACGAAGGAAGGAATGAGTGAGTACTAAGTTGAAAGCATTAATTTGGTTCAAAATGATGATGCAGATAAATTAGTTATTTAAATCTAAATATCTTATGACGAGAGCGATTGGCATTTTTGGTATGCAGTGTTATTCATTGAAAACAGGTTGGAGCGTTTAAGTCTTTAATTTAGTGGTCGCCGCTTACTAATCATGCGGCATACACGCCGCACATAACCGCCAATGCCGCAACACAGCTTAGATTTCGAAGTAAGCATTTAGTCTCACCCCGGCCGCTATGCGCCGCCATTTTTAAAAATATGTAGGGCGAGGGTGCATTACTCATCGCCGGGCAAGGTTGAGGTCATTTATCGACATAACAACTTTGAGCTCGATAGCTCCATTTTTGCAAACTTATGGCGAAAACTACTCTTCGCCGGCCGAGGGGGGCGGGTGCCGCCCCTCCTCCCATAGAGTTTTTGTTAGCGATAGCTCCAAAGACGCTGGCGTTAGAGAGCTGAAACTAGGCATACCTGACCTTTGATTCAAGCCGCATCTTGTGACACCAGCCGTATTTTCAGGTCAGGTGAGGTCACTGACCTATGAGTTATGACGTAAGTGAACCTCTGCACGGTCCTCAGATGTCGCAAATTTGCAACGCCCTCAGTGCCAGAGGAGCTTTCACAGGGAGATGAAACTTACAGGATGTAATGACTATACTCCAGAGGTCTCATAACTTGCATATCTTGGATTTTTTTCTAAAGGTCACATAAGGTCAGATCGGTCACGTGACCTCACCATTATATATGAGTCAATAGGGAACAATGGAAACTGCTATTTTAGCGCCGGGAACGATCTCAGACTATCTCAAGTAGGTACATACACGGAATCGTGATTTCCTGCACTCCTTGCAAGGTCCGATGCTTCAATTTTGCATTGTTGACCTTGCGTGACGTCATAAGTGATGTCACTTGGGTCATAAGAGTTTTTCGTCAATAACTCGCGACCAAATTGAGCTAGTGAGTCGAGAAAGCCACCTCAGGAAGACTCAGGAAGACCTGCCGAATTGAACGATATGCGACATGACCTCCTTTGACCAGCTTTGTGGCCTGGGGGCGCTGACCTAACCTCGACCGGAAGTCAACATCTCAAGTTGAACTTACCCAAACAAAAAAATATACCATTCGACATGCCTCAACGAGGCGATCACGATTATGCCAAAATCGCGGCTCTGCGACCATTTTCTTTTTTGTGAAGTTATTTATGAAAAACTGAACTCGTGCCTTGGGTAATTTGACCTGACCTCAGAGGTCACCGGTTGAACTGAGACCTTAAAATCGGGTACCTACCAGTCACTGCGTCTCGTAACGGCGCACACGCTCGTTTTTCGCGACGCTCTAGCTCCATCAGGGCCGTAACGGCGGGGGGGGGGGTCGTACCAACCCTTCCCCCTCTCAGACGTCGCGTATGTAGAAAACCAATAGGTCCTCAATTTTTGACCGTCCTATGTAGACCACGTAGCGTAAAACTAAGAACACCATTGGATCCTCCGTGACGAGCTGCATTGAATCAGTACCGCCTTATGTAAAAATGTTTATTTTGAAATCTCACCTTTTTTACCTGACCTTGACCTGACCACCAGAAAGTAGCCTAAACTGGCCCCAATATTCGCCTAGCCCACATCATTGAATTTAAAATGTAATATATTGACCGTAAAACGTGTAGCACACACTATTAGTGGCAGGCTTCTGGCTACCCCTAATAGTGGCAGGGGGCTGTTTAGGACCCCTCTTGATATCTCGAGATCTAACCGGTCGATTTTCAAAATTCAACCTGCATTCGATTCCGCTCAACCAGATCTACATTTTTTAAAGAAAAGTCCCCGAAAGTAAGTAGGGGTAAAAGCGCTAGGGGGCAAAAACCTCAAATTTCAGATGGTTTTCAACTGCTCGCCACGGCCATGTTTTCAACCAATTTTGACACCATTGCTGCCGATCGATGCAGAATGAGCCAGAAATTAACATGTGTCATAAATATGGGCCTTTCGAAAAATCATAGGTGGATACAGGTAAATGCATTTGGCAGGTACTTAAAATACATAATAAATCAGGTTTTTCGTTGGTGCATCACCAAAACGGATTGGCAATGGTCTCATCATGTTACATAAATGTGTGGTAGAATGACTAAAGAAGATTGGTAATTCATAGGCGGCGTCAGGGTACCGAAGTTGGGAGGTGAACTCCACCTCCCTCTCTTTTCCTAGAGCCGCTATGCTCCACTTCTTGTTCATTTGTGAACCTCTAATACTTACAAATAATGTTGATATACCTATAGTTACGTACAGAATAAATACATACAGCCATAATGCATCAGCAATCAGCATCGTGGTCTTCACCCAAATAACTCACCTCACGAATTGGACCTCCGATTCCCAATGCCCTGTAACCACCCCTGTTGTAGCTATCGGCTCAAAATTTTCCAGGAATATGCCCAATTTAGTTATAAAAATCACAAAATTCCAACGCTTCAGCCGTTTTGGAGATATTCCCGAAAAACCGGAAGGGTGGCTGAAAACAACCCCTTTCCCCTGCTACTAAAAGGATTACGTATCGTTGGGTTCATGTTGTGACCCTTTGTGACATGACCTCTGCGACATGATCTGGTATCAGTGACATCATTTAGCAAAATTGAGAAATAGTTAATGCATCAGAGAAACAATGCTCTATCGATGATTTTCGATAAAATGCCTTCTACACGATGTTAAAACACATTTCCTTAGAAGTCCTGTGACCAGTCAAAAACGCAACCTTTGACCTGACCTGTGACACCATGAGTTGCAACTAGGTCAACGAAATAGGGTCACATGGTAGCTCCTCTGTAAAGCTATCGAACACCTTTTTGCTTCGCAGATTGGTCTGTAACTTTCCGGGCCGAAAAGGGGATAACTTTCCATGGGGGGGACGTCTCACTCGTGCGGCTGGTAGGTACCTAAGTGCTACCTTTATATTTTCTCGCCCGGGAATAGCCCTAACCCGCGCCCTGGTGGGGTCTGTTTATAACGCGACCTGGTGGGGGGGGGCTATTTTTTGCCCCCCCTCGTATCTCCGAAACTACTGGACGGATCCGCAAAATTCAAACGGCGTTCGAAAGGCCTGTCAAATTTGTCGAGGGAAACCAAATTTCATTGACCTCGGGGTCACCGATGACGTCACAGGTCAGGTCAAAGATGAAATGTTTCACCGTTCACGGGTCATCTAGGGAATGCGCTATAACACCGAAGAAAACGCATTTTGTCGAGAATCAGCGATAGGGCGTCAGTTGCCTAGTACATATATTGCTATAAGAGGTCACTGACATTACCAGGTCACAGGTCAGGTCACCAAGGGTCACAGGTCAGGTCACATAAACCTAACTTTAGGTACTAAGGTTGTGCGATGCATGTTTTATGGCCAATTTTTCATTTCCAACTCAATGGTGTTGGTTATAAGACTATCAGGTACGGCTTAGGCCACTTTCTGGTGGAGGTCAGGTCAAGGTCAGGTCAAAAAAGGTCAAATTTCAAAGTTGATATTTTTGCATAAAATGGGTATTGATTCGATGCAGCTCGTCACGGGGAGTCTAATGGTGGTCTTTTTTTGCGCTACGAGGTCTAGAATTGCAAAAAATTGAGTTTGAAAATTTGACGTCATCAATTTTGAACAGTTTTTTCGCTGTAACTTGGCCAAAAAAAGAGGTATCGATCTCAAATTTGGTATGTAGATAGAAGGCGGTAAGGACTATCACATATATTCCGGTTTTTTCGAAATTCAAAAAACTTTTTGGATTTTTCGGCTATTATAATAAAAAAATCTATTTTTTGATTTTTGGGGGTCAAAATCCAAAAATTTCAAAAATCCGAGATAGCAGTTTTGTAGCCCTGTCGATTCTACAGCTTTTATGTCCTTATAGTTTTTCTGTATTTGCAAAGCTATAGGCCTGACAGCTCTTCCCGCGAAACCCTTTTTTGGGTCGAAAACGGCAGAACATGACGTCACTCTGACGTCATTTCCGGCCAACCTATCATAGCCTTTGGATAAATTTTTGGTCACAATGTGTAAAATTGATGTCCGGGAGGGTACTGAAAGTTTGGTGACGATCGGCGCAGCGGTTCTGGAGATATATCGAAAAGTCTGGAGGGGGGGCAAAAAATAGCCCCCCCCCCACCAGGGCGCGGGCTAAGGGGTGCAAGTGCGCAAGCATATCAAACAACTGCTGCCTTAAAGTTTTATTTAGTTCACATCGTTGATTTGCACTACTTTGGCATTGGATCCTATCCAGGGAAAATAAGTGGACGTCTTTTATCACACGATGCAAGTAAATATTACCTGCCTTTGGCAGTTCGCATTTTACCCAACCTGCATGTAGCTCGAAGGTCGGAGTAGCGATGAAAGAAGAAAAGCTTATCGCATGAATAACAAAATGAAATATTATCGAGGAGACCTTGTTGCGCCACATAATCGGCTCTCCATAGCAGAATATCACAAAACAAAACGCGATACAGAAAAACAGCGACTTGCCAGAGCATGGCTCCGAGGGTGGAGATCACAAAGAAGGCTGTGGTTTGGTGCGCTCCAAGCATACGCAATGTGAAAAAAATGTGCCCCATTGCTCATCACAGCCCGGTAATGAAGTGCACGGTAACGGCTCGGCGCCGATTCACTTCCCGATAACGGACTCGATCCATTTCACGAAGAAGCCGACGTCGACGAAGACGGAGGGCCTGCTGTTGAGGTCGCAGTCGACGCCCCAGGAGGTGACGGCGGCCAGCACGGGCCGGCCCGACCAGCGGTAGAAGGTCAGCGCGCCGCCCGAGTCGCCCCAGCAGAGACTGCTGCCCGGCGGCGGGCGCGCGCACGACATGGGGCCCGGCACGAACTGGAACAGCACCAGGCTGTCCAGACAGTCGGCGTCCGAGACCACCTGCAGCGACACCTTCTGCAGTCGGTCGGGGAACGTGGGCCCGACGGCCGTCGAGCCCGAGACGCCCCAGCCGCTGGCCACGGCTGTCTTACCTGCCGGGTCACACAGAGAGCCCAGAGGGGTCACACAGAGAGCTCAGAGGGGTCACACAGAGAGCTCAGAGGGGTCACACAGAGAGCTCAGAGGGGTCACACGGGGCTCAGAGGGGTCACACGGGGCTCAGAGGTGCTGGGCCGTCTCAGGGCTCGGACTAAAGGCTACTCTTCCCCTAAAAAAACTTAAAGCTATCAATTTCGCCCATTCCGTTACTAATGACATGCAGTTAGGAAAAATGAATGCAACAAATATGTTTCTGCTTATTAGCACATTCAGCAGAGCGTTACATTACTAACACTGATAGGCAAATCGCTGACAAACGACCTCGACGCCACGTAAGGTCCACTGGTGAGGCCCACCTGCGAACTCCTCCTCGAACTGGGGCAGCTCGATGGTCTTCACATAGGTGGAGAGCTGGACGGGCGTGTCCACCCGGATCAGGGCGATGTCGTTCTGTCCGTCCGACAGCTCGGAGAACACCACCTCGGCCACGGACCGCGTCTGCTCGGAGCCCTCGTCCACGCTGACGTCGTACTCGCCCACAATCACCTGTCGGGGCCACAGTCAGCTGTCAGACCGGCCCACAATCAACTGTCAGGACCCACAGTCAGCTGTCAGGGCCCACAGTCGCCTGTCGGGGCCCACAATCAGCTGTCAGGGCCCACAATCCGTTGTCAGACCGGCCCGCAATCCCCTGTCAGACCCGCCTCCAATCAGCTGTTGGGGCCCACAGTCAGCTGTCAAGGCCCACAGTCAGCTGTCAGACCGGTCCACAGTCACCTGTCGGGGCCCACAATCAGCCGTCAGACCGGCCACAGTCAGCTGTCAGGATCCACAGTTCCCTGTCGGGGCCCACAATCAGCTGTCAGGACCCACAGTCCCCTGCCAGTGTCCACAATCATCCGTCGGACCGGTTGTATCACACCCGGTTCGGGTGTAATGGTCAGTCACACCGCCCGCGTAATGGACAGCCTGTTGACGGCGTGTCGCCCCATACACTGCAGCGGTGTTGACGTAATGTTTGTGTATGTACGAGTATGAATGAGCGCCCGGTGCCGCCCACTATCAGCCCGCCGTCACTCTGTTTACTACGGCCACGCTCGGTTGGCGCTGATCGGGCTGCGGGTGCCACTGACTAACACAGACGCGGCTGCGCTGCAGCACGGTGGCAGTGAGCAGCGGCCGGCCCCGGGGCCCGGCTCAGCCCGCAGCGGCGCGACGGCCCACATGGTCAGCAGTGGGGCTGCGGTGACTGATGTGCAGTGACTGTGGAATGTTTCTCTGTGAATGTGGCGCGGTGCCCCCTGTGACTGGGAGCGCGCCCCCTGTGACTGTGGCGCGGTCCCCTGTGACTGGGAGCGGTCCCCTGTGACTGGGAGCGGTGCCCTGTGACTGGAAGCGGTCCCCTGTGACTGGAAGCGGTCCCCTATGACAGTGCAGCGGTGCGGTGTCCCTCCAGCCGCGGCTGACCTGGTAGGCGGCGGTGTCCGGGTCGGGCGTCAGGCAGTGGGCGGCCGTCACCAGCCACTGCTCGGACACCAGCACTGCGCTGCACACGTGCGCGCCGTGCCGCTTCAGCTGGGCGGCCCAGGGGAACTCGCCGCGCGCCGCCGTCTCGCCCTGGATCACCGAGACGGAGCGGGCCGCCGGGCCGCGCCGCGGGACGGCCCGGCCGGCAGCTGCACGGACACCACAGCAGCGTCAGACGTCACTGCACTGAGACCTCACTGCAGCGACAAACATAGACCTCACAGCTGTGACAGATGCATCTAACAGCGAGATACCTGGGACGCTTCTATTTCAAATCAACAACTGATAACCAAAATAAAAGGCAGCAAATTGTCTCAAGTTAGTTACCGTGATCAAATTATTTTTGCTGAGTATACTTATTACTTCAGTTTAACCGTAAGCCTACCGAAGGAGGAAACAGTGCACCCTGCTGAGTTACTGACCGATGGTGAGGAGGAACACAGCAGCCTGCAGACGCATGGTGACTGTCACAGCCGACCGGCCTGTCCAGCGCACTGGCCCTCTCCGAGACGACACCGACCCGGCCCAGCGGCGCACTGGGCTATAAGGCGCGTCTGGGAGCGGTGAGCAGTTCACTATCGTTGAGAGGGCCACCCACCGCCCACCCACGGCGTGGGCGGTACCGGGACGGCGTCTTATCGGGCTCCGACCGCGCCGGGCTACCTGTAACCGAGGAGCCGCTGCAGCCTACCTACTGGGAGCCGCCGGCCTTCCTATAACTGGGATCCTACCTGTAACCGAGGAGCCGCTGCAGCCTTCCTTCTGGGAGCCGCCGTCCTTCCTATAACTGGGATCCTACCTGTAACCGAGGAGCCGCCGGCCCTGCTATAACTGGGAGCCGCCAGCCTTGCTACTGAGAGCCACCAGCCTTGCTTCTGGGATCCTACCTGTAACCGAAGAGCTGTCGACCTACCTACTGGGAGCCGCTATAGCCCTGCACTACTGAGAGCCCCTAGCCTTGCCACTGGGAAGGCGCTCCGCAGTCGAGACGGACGGGTACTTTGAACCGGACATGTGAAAACCGGAGCGGCGATTGCTGTTAGAAAGGACACGCTCCTGATTGGTGGTTCGGCGACGCCATGGGGAGTGGGCGATGGCGCGGTACCGTTCCTCGGGGCGGCTACTCGGTACAGAGGGACGGCGCGGAGCCTTTTCTCCGAGCAGTTCTCCCTGTACCGCAATATACAATACACACAGTATACATACACTACAGGGAGGGACGGCGCAGTAGCGCCGCGGGAACGCCCACCTGCCGGCCGTGCGGTGCACACAGACGCCGCTCGCCACCGGCCGCTGGCAGCTTCTCAGAGACGGAGTCTGAGGCGGAAACAGACGGGGCGATATAGAGTCGCACAGTTCGTGGCAGGGTTCAACCCGCGCCGGCGCCAGTCAGCAAACAGCAGCCGAGTGCCATAAAAGTACCCGCCCGCCCGGCGAAAGGAGCAGCAGTCAGAGGAATTTCATAGCTACTTGATTTTATGAAGCACTCTGTACGTGGAGATGACTAACGACTAAGAGATGTCTGAGGCGATTACGTGACAAAATATCGTAAGACAAAAGATCGTATGAAAAAAGTTCGTAGGAAAATGATCGTAAGATAAAGATCGTATGTTGTAAAAGATCGTATGTTGTAAAAGATCGTACGACAAAAGATCGTAAGCAAAAGATCGTAAAGCAATTGATCGAATGAAAAAGATCGTAGGAAAATGCTCGTAAGATGAAGATCGTATGTCGCAAGAGATCGTACGACTGAAGATCGTAAGCAAAGGATCGTAAAGCAAAAGATCGTATGAAAAAGATCGTATGAAAATGATCGTAAGATAAATATCGTATGTCGCAAAATATCGTACGACCAAAGATCGTAAGCAAAAGATTGTAAAGCAATGGATCATATGAAAAAGATCGTATGAAAATGATCGCAAGATAAAGATCGTATGTTGTAAAAGATCGTACGACAAAAGATGGTAACGTTAAGTTCGTTAAGTAAATAATCGTATAGAAGTGTTTTAGGTAAATGATTGTAGCATAAAGCCCGTTAGTCACAAAATATTCTACGAAAAACCGTCACGTGCGTGTGCTGCTGTGACCTGTGGGGTGCCCCTGTTGAGGTGCTCAAGTCTTATTGGGGGTGCTCAATCCAGCATTTAGAGTGCTGAGGCACCCCCAATGATATACAAGTTCACCCATGCTCAGGTCACCTAACATAAAAAAATCCGGTATATAGAAACTACGAATATTTATGACGTTATGTTATCCACCAGCTTCGAAAAATTTTCATGCCCACAATTACATCAAGAAATTCACGATTATGAGTGTGACTTTCATGGGCCTCTATGCTAGAGCATGGGTGTAGATTAACCCGCGCCCCACTGGGGGGGGGGGCTATTCATAGCCCCCCTCCCGTTTTTCTGCAATAACTTCCAAGCCACTAAACGTATCGACGCCAAACTTTCAGTACTTTCGGCTACATCAATTTGACACATTGTGTCAAAATATGAACTTCATAGCTACCATAGGTCGGCCGGAAATGACGTCAGAGTGACGTCATGTTCGGCCGATTTCGACGCAAAACATTGAACCACGGCAATCGCTACCAAGAGCTCAGTTTTTAGCCTAGATCCAATTTCTTTGCATGAGAGGACTCAAAATAGACTGCGCTATCAAACTGCTATCTCGTAGTTTCAAAATTTTGAAAATTACGAAAGTTTTATATAATAAAATTCAAAATTTATATTTTTAGGTATATTTTTTTCAAAAAGTTTTTGACTTTTCGAAAAAAAAAAAACGGAATAAATGTGATAGAAAGCATGCTTATGACTAGCTCCAGCAAGTTTTAGCTAAATATCTTCAAAAATGGCCAAGTTATACGCATTATTGCAAAAAATTCACAATTATTACACACACAATCACGCCTGTCCCGTAGCTCAGTTGGTAGAGCATCGGACTCCCGGTAGTGAGAGCCCGGGTTCGAGGCGCTCCGGCGCTCGATATACGAGACTCCTGACGGGGATGGTCTGCGGTTGGTGGGAGCAGCCGCAGCCAGTTGAAGTCAGTTGAGTGGGACAGGCCGTGTCCGGCTTTGAAGGGCACGTTAAACTTTGGCATCTAAATTCTCCCGTTACCCGGAATTGCGCGATCGGACGGTAGGGGTCGGGGTCTACGCAACAAGCTCTGCTTAGCTTGGGCTCCGGCTCTGTCAATCCGTCCATTCAAACATTCGAGCTAAATTTATAAAAAAAAAATTATTAATAGTTTTGAAATAAATTTTTCAGTACGTATTTTACACCGTACGCCAATATAAATAGCACCATTGTGTTTCTGAGCTCGAACTGCATCCAATAGACACCTTTTTTTGTTGAAAATTGTAACTTCAAAATTTGACCTTTTTTGACCTGAAAGTGACCTGACCTAAGCTAATTTCGACTCAAAATGACCCCGAATGACACAAACGACATCAAATTCGAAATCTATGGCTTAAATGAACCATAAAACATGTGTCACGTCACCGACGCATGATATAATATTTCCGTGGCCTGTGATGACCTGACCCTGATCTGAAAATCAAAGTACAAGTTTGGTACCCTCAGGGTATCTAGAGCATCTGTTAACGAGTGTGTAAACCAGAAATTAGCCTGATCTGACTTGTAGGACGGTGGCCAGAGCCCAAAATATGAACAAGCCAAAATGCTAATAATTTTTATGTTGACCTGACCTGTGACGTCATCGGTGACCTCCAGATCAATGAAATTAGGTTTCGCTCGACAGTTTTACCGGGGCTATCAGACACCCTTTGAATTTTGACGATCGGCCCAGTAGTTTCGGAGTTAGGAGGGGGGCTATGGAGAGCCCCCCCCCCCAGTAGGGCGTGTTATACGCAGACCCCAGTGGGGCGCGGGTTAAAAAAAGCATTGGGGCGTCACAGGCATAGGTGTGCCCCTTTGGCCCTCATGGCTGGATGTGCCTCCTATGCCAAAGAGGGCCCTCACATTTCGCATGTTACCAATAACATCGTGCTATTTTTAGTGGGTTATTCATATTGCATCGAAGGCATCGATAAATCAATAGCGATCCTGTAGAGTTCGTTTCAAGATTTGCATTTTGCAATCGTGGTTTTGAAATATCGACAAAATTTTAGGAGCAAAAGGTGGTGCCGCAACCTTTTGCTTTCAACTTTCAAGTCCCCATCCCCTCTCAACCGGGCGCCGCGAGTGGAATTGCGAGGGACACCACAGGTCTAACAGAGGCACCACAGGCCTGGCAAGGGCACCATCAGCCTCGCAGGGACACATTGGGCCTATCAGATGCACCACGTGCCAGTCGGGGGCACTTCAGGCTTGTCACGGGCACCACAGTCCCGTCTAGTGATGTCAATTACGGAAAATCGAAATACCGATACCAAACCAAATGCCAACCAGAACCGAGGGGAAATACCGAAACCAAACCAACTCGGGACCATGTGGGAAATACCAACTTTTTACCAATTTCTTAGCCTGTTATACATTAGTGAGGGTTCATGAAACCAACAAAATACCAATTACCAGTCACACTAGGATTGAAATACCAAATACCAAGTTGGTATCGGTTTGGTATCGGTATACCAAATAGTTGGTATCCGATTGACATATCTAGTTCCGTCAGAGCCCAAGGGCACCAGCGGCCTAGAAGGGGCACCACAGGCCCGCGCGAACACAGAAATTGATCAGCTTATTATGCGCTGGAGTTTGGCTGCACCATGTGATTACCATATTTTGACTGTACGATCTTTATATCATACGATCATTTGGCGTACGATCATTTACCTCGACGATCTTTTGCGAATACGATCTTTCGTCCATACGAACATTATACTGTACGATCTTTATCCCATACGATCTTTGACATAGGTACGATCATTTTGCTTGACGATCTTTTGCGAATACGATCTTTTGTCCATATGAGCATTATGTCGTACGATCTTTATCCATTACGACTTTTTGGCATACGATCATTTTCCTTGACGATCTTTAGCGAATACGATCTTTTGTCCATACGAGCATTATGTCGTACGATCTTTATCCATTACGATCTTTTGCATACGATCAACTTCCTACGAGCTTCTGCCATACGATCTTCTGCTTTACGATCTTTTGTCCAGTTACCACCCACAGCCAGGTAGGTGCTGATGCAGCGTCACCTGTGCTCGCTTTGTGTTGACGGCAGTGCCTCTGGCGGCAGTGTACCGAATCAGAGTTACCATCACCTACCCACAGGTTCTGACTCATCGGGGTCTTCTACGATTTTTTCCTCCCGTGAGCTACGTAGGTATTTCACTAACCAGAACACTAATGGCCATTGACTGTAGGCCTATGCCGTAAGCTGTGGCTTCTGCCATCCAAAGTGCTATAGGAGGCCAACATGCAGTGGGTCAATTTTATGCGAAAAGCAGCTCATGCGCTGAACTGCTGACATGACTGATGTTGGCTTACCGTCTACTCTAATGTAATGCAGCGTTTTCAGTGAAATCATCCAAATAGCAACTGATTCGTCTAAAGAGAATATATATTCCCGACCGGGGCTGGGAAAATGCGTTTTATTCATAGAGATCTTATATACATAGAGATGACACGCCTATGTTAAAGCACTGGATTTCGTGGCGATTCAGTGGGTCTTTTTAAGCAAGGTTTTCTGGGGTGCCATGGCCCGTGACTTGCATTTTGTAAGGATTCGGTCAAGGAGATTGTGTTCATACCACTGAACTCTAATATATACTGGAAGGAGCATTGGTGACTTGTTTTTGTCTATCGATTTCCGCCATGTTGT